GGACGGGCTGAAAGTGCATGTGAGTTTAGTTTTGGGTTCAGTAAAAAAAAGAGTGGTTTTGGTGTAATTACAATCCCTATGGACCAATGTTGTCATTGAAATGTATATTTAGGATTGTTGCATAGGCAATGCATGAACAATATTGAATGGATTCAAGATCTCAAGAGAATGAATTATAGACAAGACTTCCGGACATGACTCCAAGATATGGTCATGGTGAGCTCATGAGTTGATTCATGGTTGATCAAGTCTTGAAGTAATTCAAGTGGATATTTCATCATGTGCCTCAAGATATTGTGGTAGAGCACGACGAAGACAAGTGATGACCAACATGATGCTTATAGTGCAACTCAATAAGGACCACAAGCGAATTGAGTCATTGGTGATCACGTCTTGGAGCAATTAGGTGAAGTGAAGGGTTCATTGTGGCCTTCGAGAAATTAAGATAAGAGTCGTATGTGTAGGCTAGGTGATACTCATAGGCTTGTATAAAAAAATCAGATACTCCATGAGAGGATAACATCAAGTGAAGATCATCATCAAGATTGAAAAGGACAAGTTCAAGTTAGGCAAACCAAGGGATTATATCCTTAGCTCGCCGCCTATTTTCTGAAAGCAAACATTCAAATATGTGCTTAAGTGAAGACTTCCCTCGTTACAATAATGAAAAGCAAAACAAATATGTACTCCCTCCGTTCGGAATTACTTATCGCAGAAATGGATGTGTCTAAATGTATTTTAATTCTAGATACATCCATATTAGAGACAAGTAATTCCGAACGGAGGGAGTAGTTACCGAAGGATATTCCCTTGGCAACGAGGTGGCTTACCATAGCATTTTCTTATTTGGGGAAATAATTAAATTAAGTAAAATAATGATATAGTTTATATACATTTCAGGCCGGGCTGGGCATTTATAGATCATGCTTTTCAAAGCAAAACTTGGACTGGCCCAGGGGCCCGGACGTCCAATAGTGTTGATCCGTCGGTCTGTTCCAGAGCCGTCGATCCGTGATCTACCCTACGGCTGACCGGGAGAGCTATTTGTCGCATTAAGCGATCCCTCAAAATAGACGGGAAAAAGAGAGATCAGCAGGAATCAATACCTGGCCATCACGGACACAAGGCAGCGGTACTAGCCACTACGCCAGCCAACAGTTTGTAAAACATAGGGGCGCGATTTACTTGAAGCAAAAATGTCGGTTTTCTCTGTTTTTTTTTTCTTTTCTCGTTTTCTTTTCTTTTTTTCTTCTCTGTTTTTTTCTTTTTCTTTTTTATTTTTGGTTTTCTTTTCTTTTTTATTCTCCGGGTTTTTTCATTTGTTTCTTTAGTTTTTTCATTTTCCTTTTTCTTTGATTTATTTTGTTTCTTTTTTGGTTTTCTTTTTTTATTGGTTTGTTTTCTTTTCTTTTTTCTTCTCCATTTTTTGTTTGGTTTTCTCTTCATTTTTGTTTGGTTTTCGTATTTCTTCTCTGTTTTTTTCTTTTTCTTTTGTGTTTTCTTATGTTTGTTTTCGTTTTCACTCTACATTTTCGTAACAAGTGGTCAACATTTTTTGTATACACGTTCAACATTTCAACATTTTTTTCAAATCTGTGTTCAGCATTTTTAATACTTATTAAATATTTCAAATATGTTTTCAACATTTTGTTCCCACAAAGCAAGTTTAGTGACCCATTTGTCTCAATTTTCAAGTTTTTGTATGGAAGTGTTCCCGCAGTGCAAGTTGGTGTGCTTAGGTGTATCTTTTAGGTTTGATGATGGACCAGACAAAGTTTAATTTTCCAAATCATAAACTCCATTAAATTTGACTTTTGGGGATGGGCTAGAGATGCTCTTAATTCATCCAAAGCCTGGATGTGGATGGAGCAGAGAGCTAACTCGGGCACTTTATACGGTGGCAATATTGACATGAGCAGGTCTTATCACTTAAGTTGTACACAACGCAATGCTCAAAACACCGACGATTCAGTGATTTACCGTCTGATTTATCACTACTCAGGGAGAATGATAAGATTACGCCTTATCATCACCGTTTATCTATAGGGCCTACTTATAACTCTGACAAGCAATTTATTGACAATACATCGACAGATCAGGCATATTCCTAGCACCATATGTGCAAGAACTATGTTTAAAAAAAATTGGACCTTGTTATGTACTATAATATACTCCCTCCGTTCCAAATTACTCGTCACAGAAATGGATGTATCTAAAACTAAAATACATCTATATACATCCATACTTGCGACAAGTAATTCAGAACGGAGGGTCCTACTTTATTTGTCATTGTACAAGGATTCCAAGGCAAGTGTAACAATTCTATCCAGTAGTGTTTTTTGTAAAATATAGCATATTTTAGTGCTAGGAACCCAGGATTTGCAAAAAAAGTAAGTCAATTAATAGCCGATCGATAAAATTGATTAATCAGCCGATTTCTGATTAATCTCTAATCCCCAGCCGATGAAACGCTAACGATAAGTAATATCCTCAACATTAACAATGTATATTTCTCGGCACCGAACTGATCAGCAAATGGACAACCAATCCGCAGTTACAGGTATCATACGAATGCATTACTCAAAAATCAGGTAGTATAATAAACAGCTTTGCCAGACCAAAAGATCCACGAAAATGGCAATGTATAGGTGACATAACACAGAGATCAATAGCTGCGACCCCAGAATGACCACTTTTGAGCAGGCTTTCCGGAAGCAAAGCACACGGTTCCTGAAGTTTTGTGCAGAACATCAATGTCAATGTTAGTGCATCTTGTATGGAAGCATCATTTGCAAGAAGCACAGCAAAAGAGAAATCAGAACGAAATAAAAGCACTGCTGTCTGCATAGCGTACCGGAAGGAAGATCTGGCTGGTCAAATGGAGTACACAATGTTTTCGCAGCCCCAAGTTCACCTTTGGTCCGAGCTTTCACGTCCTTCTCGACCTCCTGCACAGCACAAGGGAAGGAATTGTATGCTAAACATGCCAGAGTTTGCAATTAACAACAGCAACATAGAATTTGTGCCAAATGCTAGTCCTCCACTCGAACAAGTCATCCTGCGGTTAATATGATTTGAAATAATTTTTCCGCCTCCCGTTCATGAGGATCATGGTAATTAACAACAGCATTTACTAATATGAACTAGAGAGCACAAACAGCATCCAAGAGCAATAAGTGACCTAACAAAGGAGGGGTGCTCTGAATCTTATGTATGCCTGGATTGTAAATGGAGCTATCAGGTGATGAGCAAACTGAAACTAGAACTTCCTCCTCCATGCATTAGCTTCAGTTTAACCAACTTTTTGGAGTTTTATATAATATCAAGGTTTAGCTATACAAGTATCAAAACAGTTCTGCACAAATGTGCACATCCCATTACTCCTACTACGACCAGCTTTGCAGTATAGTAAAGTGCATAGAACAAACGCTAGATACCAACATGTGTGCCATAGTCATTAGTTCCTATTAGTTATTAAGTAACTGACTGAAAAATATCAGGGTGGGAGGGGAATAGCAAAAATGTAGGGCAGGAAATAAAATACCTCTTCATCACACCATGGAGCCAAGATCAACTTTTTGTTGTTGAGAGCCGCTATGAATTCATCCCAGGTGCTGATGATTTCAATGCATGCATCTCTTTTTGCTTTTGCTGTTTCCAACAAGTTTACTTGAATCCCATCCAGCAACACTCTAACCTGCTCAACCAAGTCGGTTGAAGGAATATCAACCTTTGTACCATTGTCTCGTCGGACAATACGCACCTGTAAATACAAAACATTATATTCCATTCCTCTGCCAAATGGAAGTTCATGAAATGATAAGAAATTAAGGGCTTTGAATCTTTGCTACAATTCTGCATAAATCTAATCCTCCAAAGATGAACCAGTTTGTGGGCGAAATCATATGGTTAATCAGGCAAGTCAAAATAACTCTAAATTCCTCTGCCTAAGATATCCCACTGAATCTATTCTTAAAGGAGAAATCAGTCCATGCAGCTTTAGATCTAAACAATAGTCAGCAACTAAAGATATTTCGTACAAAGAATTTGTAGAACAAATGGCTTATTCAGTACACATGAATGCTTATTCCTGATTATTCAGAACATGTAGTATCTTTTAGAATATCAAGTATTATTAAATAAGAATGATGTGAAGAAAACAATAGCACAGATGCACAACGAGTCAATGATTCCCTTCTATTTTGACATTCAATTATAAAAGGGTTCTAAAAAAATAGTTTGCTAACCGTCTCAACACTCAAAATTGCCAAAACCCAGTAAGAGAACAAAACAAACAGGATACAGGTGAGAATCAGTAGACAAAAGGTTTATCATAATTCATTGGACTCTTAACAGCTAAAGAGAAAATTTTAATTTCGGGTCGGTTGTTAAAAATACCTAGTACTTAAATTCTAACATGTGTATGTTAACATTAGCCACTTGCTTTCACCACGCAAAAAAGTAGTTACGGCCTAAGTGCAATGTATGACGTTTTCATAAAATTTTGAACACAAGCGCATACACACATCTTAGGCTTCAGGAACAAGTCAAAGAAGCAAAACATCCAGCATCTTCAACAAATAGGAACAAAAGAAAACATGCTATGTGAGGGGGGAGAGCAACCTGTCATAAGGTGGCAAAATTGTATGACGGATATGAAAGGCAATAGTGCCAATTGTGAATATTTGTAGAGTGCAAAATGAAAATCACATACACAAAATAATATACTATGTGACAAATTATGGAGCAAATTATTCACATGATTAAGAGTCAATAACCAGTACCTGCTTGTTCGCCAGATCTTTTGGACCTATCTCGATTCTCAAAGGAACACCTTTCATTTCCCATTGAGAATATTTCCAACCTGGAGAGTAGTTTTCACGAGCATCCAAATCTGCTCGAATCCCAGCTTGGTTCAAGGTGTAAACGGCCGACTCACACGCCCCTTTAATAGCTGTTGTGTCAGCATCTTTAAATGGCACAGGAATAACAATGACCTGGATAGGTGCCACCTTTGGCGGCAGCACTAAGCCCTTGTCATCACCATGTGTCATTATCATGACTCCAATCTGCAATAACAGCATAAAGCCTACATATTACAAATGGAAGCATAACTAAACAGAACATTCAGCGACTGAAAAATCACATACACAAAATAATATACTATGTGATATTTTAACAAACAAAATCATGATATAGCCAAAAAGTTGGAACACATGGCTATTGCCAACACTTTGGGCTAGTATTAAAAGCTACTCCCTCTGTCCCACAATATAAGATCATTTTTCAAGCTAACATAGCTTTTCCAATGCAATGAAACGCAAAGGCTATTTGCGTTTTCTCAAAAAAAAAAACGATCTTATATTGGCAGTACCTCCCAAGTGCTTGGTATTAGGGCACACTAAGTTCTCAACAAAACAATGGATAGAACAAAAAAAGAAGACTGGTCATCATGATTTTCATCAAAAAAACAATGGATCAGGCCTTGTTTTGAGTTAGGCAACTCTATACATGATATACATAGAATTACATGGAACTGCAAAATTAGATTAATTACATTACATACAATATACCCATTGTTGGGGCAGGGGCCCATTCTACTGGTTATTGCACGTCTTTCCCTAGTAAACTAGGCAAAGTCAATTTCTACTCGTAAATTGTAGAGCTCCTGTCTTTCGAGATTCCTCTAAATGAAACCTATACATTTTGGAAAGAAAAATACATCGAGGTGTATACTGGCATTCCCCACACTAGTACTTCATATTTATCATTCTGTCAATGCCTTCGCAAAATTAACACTATACTTCTTTACCATGAACCTATTCTCCAACATTTGATCTTTTATGATCAAACTTATAAGCTTATTGGAACGTTTACATCACAACAGGATATATAAGCAGTAAGCGCACCAATATGATTCAAAAAGTGATGCCACTTCCAAAACTTTAGCAATAAAAAAAAGGATCCCAGCAAAATCCATTTCGAGTAAAAGAAATACAAGAATTACCGAGCGGGTAGTGTATGCCCAAGAGTTCTGCCACACCATGGACCGTTCACCCTTTTCATTCTCAAAAGTGATATCAAACATCTTTGCAAAGTTTTGACCAAGACAATGGGAAGTTGCACCTTGTATACCACGGCCAGTATTTGGAATGAAGGCCTAAAGAAAAACAACCGATAAACTTTAATCTTGCAGTAAATGAAAATAGCACTTGTATTCTTACCAGGATAGATTCGAAAAAGCTACATGCAGCAAGCAGTTTCTTATCCATACCTCCACACTGGTTGTATAAAGTCCACCAGCAAACTTTTCCATCTCACTTTTCCTCCCTTTGGACACTGGAACTGCTAAAAATTCTTCATATATTCTCCTGTAGAGTTCCAATATTTGGAGGACCTGATAAACATTGCCATAAATGACTGGTTATCCTTTTGATATTTAACATTGCCATAAGTGTTACTCCGACCCATGAGGATTGACTTAAATAGTTTTGCAAGCAGAATAACAACTTAGAGCTTACAAGTAAAGTTATGGGTGTGTGGCGTTGTGTAATTTACACAAGGTCAAAATGCTGATCCAAGTTTCCATAGCTTACATTTTCAACGAGTATATACCCTCCATTTGGTTATTTCCAAATTCTAATGTCATTTATTACTACAAACGAAATTACCTGCCTCCTAATAGTGATAAGTGGCCTAATAAATAGGTAGTGCAGTCTTATTTGCTTGTATCTTGGTTAAAGTGTATATATGGCCTAATAAATACTCAACATGCCATGCATTCAGGAACGGAGGATGTAATACCTCTTCATCTGCCTCCTCTTTAGTTGCAAAAACTGTATGGCCTTCTTGCCAAAGAAATTCACGGCTCCTGAGGAGAACGGTTACAGATCATGTCAAATCAAATAACTTGAAGCACATGCAGAATGTTTAGTCCAGACATGTCACAAGCATTACATAGGAAAAAAAGGCCTATTAGCCATAATGACAAGCTTTGCAGAAACAAGGTGCATGAATTCGGTTTATACATCCATTGAGAAAATCAATTGTGAAAACATCATCATGATTGTGAGTAAATGAGCAGCAGATTGCTAGAATATAACAAATGAAGAAAGGTAATTCTCACCCCAACAAAAGAAATGAACAAAGTTGGTGGGTGTTATTGGTACCATACACAAATACTGGAATGATTGAAAATTTTCAGTGTAAATTCTGAAGTCATGAAACCTCATTTATCTTCCTTTGGTTTTTTTGTTTCAAATGGTCTAGCAACCAATCATCTCAATATTAGCATGAAAATTTTCACTATAGTAATTTCATGATTTTGATGGGAATATTAAATGTGATGTCCTTGACCCTTGGAATACTTGAAAAGTTTCGCACTTCAACAGCCATCTTGCTAAGATACTGCTTTTTGCAAATGAATGTACTGCTTTTGCAATAATTTAATATATTATCAAGCATGCAATTAGACACTATCGCACCATTAACTACTAACAAGACAGGCACTATAAGAAAGTCAAACTCGGAGAAATGCCTAAACAAATGTGATGATGGGCCACCAAACAGTGAACTACCTTATGAAAGGAGTTGGATTGCTAAACTCCCATCTAACAACATTGCACCACTGGTTACACTTCAAAGGCAAGTCCCGGTGGCTTCTTATCCATTTAGAGAAGTATGGATACATGACCGTCTCACTTGTTGGACGGATTGCAATAGGAGCTTCCAGATCAGATTTTCCTGATTTAGTAACCCATGCTACCTGGAGGACAAATGAAAAGGTTACTATCTTCAGAAGACAATATAAGAAAGAGATAAAGTAAATACGGAACAAGCTAATTAGAACCATAGCACAGAGAAAAAATAATTAACATAATACCCATAGAGCTGTATCATGATGAACTGGTGACCAAGCACATTGTTTCCTATACCTTTTGTTTTCTGTCCTATACCATGAATTCATATAAAAACCACTACACGGGTCAAAGCAAATAGTAAAACACAACTTACTAGGTGTGTTAAGGTTAAAGAAAACAATTATTCTTTTGGTCCACAGTGGTACCTTGACAAACTTTGTCACAGGTCTGGGAGCTGTTGTCACTATTGTTTATTTTCCTTTCAAATGTTAACTTTCCAACAGCTACTGTCGTAGGTGTACATGCAAATAGCTGACTAAACCAACATATTAACTTGCAAAATACTTCATCCGAAAAGAAGTAAAAGGCACACCTCAGGGGCAAAGCCCTCAATATGGTCTTTCTCCTTCTGCAGAACATTCTCCGTAACAAACAAAGGGAAATAATACGGTTTCAGCTTCAACTTTTTTATTTCCGAATCAAAAAATTCCTGCACCAAATCACATCGTTGTTACTTACAAGTAAAAGATAATAATGTCACTATCGCTTGGTAATTGAAAGATAAAAACTAATAGCAACATCAACGGCAAGGTTACTGATGTTGATTATGAGTCAAAAAGTATCGGTATGATAAGAAATAAAACATATGCAATAACAGCTTTCAAACAAGACAGCAACACAGCAATGAAGGAAAAATGGAACTTAAACATATAACACTGAAAAGAGGCATCAAGGATTATGTGTTATGAAATGTTGATTGGATATTGGCAAAAGAAAAGGAAGCAACATGGGCATAAGCATAAGAGAAGTTTCAAATGGCACCCAAAATCAGTCTCCGAAAAAGAGGCAACTCTTAAGAAAGGATGCATATATTTCATTGCATAGAAGGGAATATACTACTAAGAAACAGTGAAATACAGCTTGGTCATTTGGATATTAGATTCCAGATGATATTAGAAAACTTACTTTCAGCAACTCCCATATTTCCATCGCCCAAGGCCTCAAGATATAACAACCAGAGATGTCATAGTACTCAATCATTTCGCTGTTAACAACAACCTGGACGAACAAATAAAAAAGCTTAAAAGAAGCCCCTACCAAGAGCAGGATTAATTTGCAGTATGAAGGAAATTTTGCTAATAGAATGTCTGATACTCAAAAGCAAAAACTATAACATCATCAAATCCTGGAAGATCTGTAGTTTCTCTTCAAGAACAACATACAAACAGAATATTTGACATAGAACAGTTCAAAAAGGAAAAAGAAAAAGCAGTAGATAATATGTGCGCCAATATTGCAGATTGGTGCAGTAGTATGTGTCAACAAACTTAACACTATCACAACACAGAACTTTAAACACGGCTATCATACGAAATCTTGCCTTGGGCAGATACTATGAGCACCTTACAGAACTATTTCCACATTGCACCCACCAATTCACCATGCGCCCAAATCAACTTGTAAATAAACCTCACCAAGCCAACGATAAGCAAGAAGACACACCTCGGAGTACCACTCCCCGAAGTTATCATCCTTCTTGTACCCCATCCCCAGTTTCGTCTCCTTCTTCACCTCCTTCTTCTTCTTCCCTGCAATCCACAAACCAAGAAACAAGCTCAGAGAACGCAAAGATCAAATATCAAAACTCAAATCCAGAGGAGTTAACAACTCAAGAAGAAGACAAACAGGAACGCACCTCCACCTCCGCCCTTGTTGGTCGACATGGCTAGATCCCGAACCACCGCTGCAGCACAGGTAGACAAAAGACAAATCACAATCAAATAAGCTAGGAAAAATTCATGAGGAGCAAGCAGGGAGGGATTCGGCTTGCTTCCTCTACTGATACGTGTATCAGTATCGGGCCAATACTGAAAGGAGAAACAACCACTTCAAAAGGTAATATTTTAGGTCTGACTGTTAAAATCAACAGCACAGCGTAACAGCCACTATATTCCCAGTAATAAACAAGAGTTGGTAAATCTATCATGCCATTAATACCACTAGTACTAATGTGTTAACCGATTCCTGCTCTCTCAAATTGCATGTTACTGCTAAGCTTTGATTTCAGGTCAACACGATGCAGATAAAACAACTTAATATTTTCCTTTTCGTATATCGTCATTCATTGCATGTTTCACTGCTAACAAGTTTAAACCAAAAGATTTGCTCATCTGAAAAACTTGAACTACAATTTGTAAATATTTGCCCCTTCAAGCATTATCACAAACACCTACCAAGCAAAATCCTCTCACATGTAAACTTGAACATGCACTGGAAAAATCATGAAGCAAGTACTCATCAAGAAATAATCATCGTTATATTCTCATAATATCAGATCTACAGCAAGTACTTTTTCGGGAACACGCAAAGCTTGCGTATCGTTGCATTGATAGAAGAAGTTAGAATGAGTACAACAGGTGGTACAAGACATGACACGGACGCAAGGGGCGTGAACATGGTGCCCGAAGCGGAGAGACATAAGATACTCGACCCAAGCAAAGAAGAACACAGCTAAACTCGCCGACCAGAGAAGCAATCCAATCAACTAGATGACCAAAAGCTCCGAATCTAGCACCGAGGACGCCGCGAGCAACCAAGACAGCGCCTTCAAGAAGGAGAACGACACCGGGAAATCCGAACCATAAGAAAAACAGCCATGGCAGCGCCTCCAAGAAGGGTACGGCACCCGCGGGTGTCGCCGCTACCAACATAAGATGCAGGGATTTCTCCCTGGCCAATTTCGAGCAATCCCAAGCCGTCGGAACACGAATCAGAGAGGAGGTCGTCAGGCATTGGCCGGAGTTGCGACTGCAGGAAGGCGAGCCGCGCACAATGCCGGAGGAGGCACTGGGCGCCGCTGGACGTGCGAACTCCGAAGGAGGGCGAGGTTGCATGGCTGCACGGAATGAGAGGCGGCGGGTATGAGACGGTGGCCGTAGCCCCGGACCAGCGACGATCTGGAAGGGAGCACAGACCCGGGCCACCCGGGACCGGAGCAGCAGGGCGCCGGCGGGCCCAAGAGCTGGAAGGGCACGCAGCTCCTGGAGCAATGTCGGAGACAAAGATGCACCGGGATGGACGGCCAACCAAGGAACCGGCGGGGTGATGGTGGTGCAGAGATGCGTGAGGAGCTAGTGAGCCAAAGGAGCCGGAAGGGCGCAGCCCCCGGGGCTCGCCGGGTCCGAGGCCGCACCGACCATGAACACAGGAAAGGGACGCAGGTCCATGGCCGCCGGGCAGAAGCCGCCCCTGCGGGGTGGTGGTGGGTGGCTGTGGTGTTGAAGGGGTCACGCGCGCAGCCACACTCCTGATCGGCGAGCTGCAAGAAACAGGCACCGTCCTGCAGGAAAACCGCCTCCATGGCTGCCTCCCGAAGAGGCCGGCCCGAAGCTCGAGCAGGGAGTAGGGGTGGCTCGGTGTCGGGGGTAGCCGCTAGGGCGCACCCGGGCGGAAAGCACCGTCACCCGCTGGGAGGAGCACCCAAATCGCGTCCGGGAGCCAACGGGGGGGCGGCCGCGGCAAGCCACCCGCGCCGCTAGCGAGCAGGGGAAGCCGTGGGAGGCCGCTGCAGACGCTGGTGGAGGCCGCCGGAGCCGCCGAACGAAATCCGGGCGGGGAGGTGGGAGAGGGCGGGGGATTGGGGCTCGGGGAAGGAGAAACGGCCCCGCCGCCGCCATCCCAGGTCCCGGCGCGGCCGGCGGCGGCGACGCGGGGTGGGCGGACGGTGGGTGCCCGGCCGGCGGCGGGGGTCAGGTTCGGGGCGTCGCCTGGCGTGTGGGATAACACTTCTACAGCAAGAAAAATTTGAGCAATCAGAGGGTTCAAGAGGAAGGAGTGGTTGCTACCAGGGAGGGAGGCGCTGCTGGTGGGAGCGGCTGCTCGACGGAGGTTGGCGCTGCTGGGCTCCTGTACCGGCGGCGGGCAGCAGAGGCTTCGGCCGGCAGGGGCGGCGGCGGCGGCGGCTAGGAACCCTAGCTGTCGCGCTCTTTTTGGGGGAGGCTCCGCTTGTGCAATCTCTTGTTATAAAAGGACGCTCGACGGTGAGAACGGGTGAGTATAGCAAGAGTAGGGCGCAAGTAGCCAATTAAGAACGAGTGGGGCGATTTGGAGCCCGGGCTCAGCTGCTCCGGATATCTCCCTCGTCTGTTCCAGTCTCGTGATCCGAACAAATCCAACTGTCCTGGTGGTTGTGAAGGCCGATAAAGCGGATATACGGTTGAATACGGTAGCGAACAGTGGCCACGCGCGTGGGGAGGCCTGACGGCCGTCGGCCCGAGTCGGTCTGGGCCGTGTACCAGGACCGTGACTTGGCCAATGGGCCGTGGACCAGAACGTTTGCTTTTTGTCAGGGCCAAGGATCAGATAATGGGTCCGTGATGGGTGTCGCTGTCTGAGCCGCCTGTCGGTCGGCGTGGTCACGCCGAGCATGCACGTGCGGGCGAGAAAAGAAAATGACATCTCCAAGGATTAACCTCGTTCTTTCTAGAGACCTCGGCTGTCGGTCGTCCTCAACCAACTACGTAGAAGAAAAAAAAGGAAGAACAGGCAAGGTCACCGGAAGGGTGTGATTTCGGAGGTGGGTGGGGTGGGGGCGCCCTACATTTGTCGTCGGCCTGCGTGTTGATGGACACAGAGGGCATGGAGTTTCTGCTTGATGCGGTCGACAGGTCAGTCAATCCCCTACTCACCGCCTGTCAGATTTGTGTTGTGCATAAACTATGTAGATTTACCCTATGCGATTCGCTGCAGATTTCCTAGGTTCCCTGTCCGGCAGGAGTTTGCTAATAACCTTGAACAACCAGATCCGGTGCCTCTTCTATACTTGTTACAAAATGGGGGCGGCAGAGAGCAAGGGGGTGCTGCGGCGAACAGTGGGTCTGGCGTGGCTCAGTTGGCCGGGGAAGAAGTCTCGCCCGACGAGCAGGGCGATGGCCGGCGAAGGCGAGCTGCGTCTCCGACAAGGTCCGCTCAGTCAACCGACGGGGTTAATCCAGAGGCCCCCGGCTGGACCAAAAGGTTAGAAAACAATTCTGATGAAATTACATACTGCGTACAATCACGGGAAGGGTCCCCTCGTGTGCTTATGAAGGAAATATGCCCTAGAGGCAATAATAAAGTTATTATTTATTTCCTTATAATCATGATAAATGTTTATTATTCATGCTAGAATTGTATTTACCGGAAACATAATACATGTGTGAATACATAGACAAACAGAGTGTCACTAGTATGCCTCTACTTAACTAGCTCGTTAATCAAAGATGGTTAAGTTTCCTAACCATGAACAATGAGTTGTTATTTGATTAACGAGGTCACATCATTAGTAGAATGATCTGATTGACATGACCCATTCCATTAGCTTAGCACCCGATCGTTTAGTATGTTGCTATTGCTTTCTTCATGACTTATACATGTTCCTATGACTATGAGATTATGCAACTCCCGTTTACCGGAGGAACACTTTGGGTACTACCAAACGTCACAACGTAACTGGGTGATTATAAAGGAGTACTACAGGTGTCTCCAATGGTCGATGTTGGGTTGGCGTATTTCGAGATTAGGATTTGTCACTCCAATTGTTGGAGAGGTATCTCTGGGCCCTCTCGGTAATACACATCACATAAGCCTTGCAAGCATTACAACTAATATGTTAGTTGTGAGATGATGTATTACGGAACGAGTAAAGAGACTTGCCGGTAACGAGATTGAACTAGGTATTGGATACCGACGATCGAATCTCGGGCAAGTAACATACCGATGACAAAGGGAACAACGTATGTTGTTATGCGGTCTGACCGATAAAGATCTTCGTAGAATATGTAGGAGCCAATATGGGCATCCAGGTCCCGCTATTGGTTATTGACCGGAGACGTGTCTCGGTCATGTCTACATTGTTCTCGAACCCGTAGGGTCCGCACGCTTAAGGTTTCGATGACAGTTATTTTATGAGTTTTGATGTACCGAAGGAGTTCGGAGTCCCGGATGAGATCGGGGACATGACGAGGAGTCTCGAAATGGTCGAGACGTAAAGATTGATATATTGGACGACTATATTCGGAGTTCGGAAAGGTTCCGAGTCATTCGGGTATTTATCGGAGTACCGGAGAGTTACGGGAATTCGCCGGGGAGAAGTATTGGGCCTTATTGGGCCCTGCGGGAAAGAGAGAGGGGCTGCCTAGGGCAGGCCGCGCGCCCCCCCAAGGCCTAGTCCGAATTGGACTAGGGGGAGGGGCCGCACCCCCTCCTTCCTTTCCTTCTCTCTTCCCCTTCCTAGTCTCCTACTCCTACTACATGGAAGGATTCCTAGTTGGACTAGGAAAGGGGGAATCCTACTCCCGGTGGGAGTAGGACTCCCCTATGGCGCGCCTCCTCCCTAGGCCGGCCTCCTCCTCCCTCCCTCCTTTATATACGGGGGCAAGGGGGCACCCTAGACACACAAGTTGACACAAGTTGATCCACGTGATCGATTCCTTAGCCGTGTGCGGTGCCCCCTGCCACCATATTCCTCGATAATACTGTAGCGGAGTTTAGGCGAAGCCCTGCTGCTGTAGTTCATCAAGATCGTCACCACGCCGTCGTGCTGACGAAACTCTTCCCCGACACTTTGCTGGATCGGAGTCCGGGGATCGTCATCGAGCTGAACGTGTGCTCGAACTCGGAGGTGCCGTAGTTTCGGTGCTTGATCGGTTGGATCGTGAAGACGTACGACTACTTCCTCTACGTC